CGTGGACTCAAAGGTATGGACTTCGTCTCCTAGATATCTGCCTTCTTCCCCCTAAAAACGAAGAACAATGGGCTGAAAGACGGTGAGACGAACTCTGTTCTTTGGGATATTCCGAAGTATAGGCTTGAATGGATCATCCCGAACGTTTCTCGACTGTCTCATATACAATAGGTTCATTGGCATATCAATTTCTTAAATCCTCGTCCTCGCACTTAGAGTCAGAACTATACTGTACTTACTGTAGAAGTGCCAGTGTCAACTCATCGGAAGAAGAATTGCATGGGAGTAAAGGGACATTTGGTGTCGGTCGAGTCTTTGAGATGCCGTTCTGTATAGTCCATTACTATTTCCCTTTTCCAGTAACTGAAGTCCGATATTCGCAAGATGATAGACTGCTCAACTCTGTCTTTTGAGAATTATTATCACACAGCTGCATCGGCCGCTAAAGCGTGTTCCCGCTAATCTCCTGCAGTCTATCACGCTCCGTGTCCTCTCCCATTCGTCCTCTTCTCGCTCATCCTGCACTTCTCATAGCGCCCAACTGGGGACTGCCAACCTACCAGCTTCAACATCTCCAGGATTTGCCAGCCCGAATTCATTTAGTTTATTCGCTAGTGTCCATGCTCTCGCCCAATCGTTCATGCTTTCTCACTCTCTGCATGAAGAAGCCAAGAGGGGCTTTGACGGCCTCGAGCGGCCTTTCCCCTTCAATTGGTTCTCAGCTTCAAGGCGATTGATCGGACACTGCGCGTGTCACAGTTGCTCTGACAATCCCGGAACGAGGAATCCTCAGCAGTGCTAAGCACTTATTTTTATGATTCTGCACTATTGCGTGGAGATATCCTCGCTAGTGATCATGTGGTCTCCCTCGCTCTGCTGATTTGGCACTGTGAGCTATCTATGTAACTAATCGCTTCCCCTCCCGCTCATCCTGCCATCACGTTATCTTCACCTTCCTTCGCAAGCCTTTGTCGTCTGATTTCGACGCATTGATTGTCTCGGTTGATGTGATATCCGTGATACAAACCTTAAATTTTACAATCCGACTCGACTCATGGGAAGATAAGAGTGATCATACCATTGTTCAACTGCCATGTCACTGTCACCGATCATGCCATATGCGAGACCAACTGGCAGAGCGGACGTCTGATTTCGGTCCACCACAACGCTGAGCGATACTGAGCCCTCGATCTCTGCATGGAAGTCTTTCGCTGGACGAAAGCCTGCTCGTCATATATACAGCGTCAAGCCCTCGATCATCTCGATATCGTCGTATTCTCGTCGCAATGGGAAGACTGATCAAAAACCACTGGGCCCGCTTGATCATCCTCACCGCTGCAGCTTGTATGTGATTCTTTAATCTTCAAACTACAGCAGGACCAGCTGACACATTGACCTCCTAGATCAAGTAGGCAGCGCTGTAGAGTGCTTCATCTGGCCCAAGATATTCTGGGACTTCACCACACGAAATCTTAATAGCGCTGTAAAACCTACCCCGATACTCCAAATCCTCAACCTCATAATGGGTCTGCTCGGCATCGCGTGGGAATGGCCGTTGAACCTCCTCGCTGGGACCCTACCACACCGCAGCATAGAAGTGCGACTCATCATGTACCCTCTGAGCGCTCTCCTCGCTGCCCTTCTCTACCAGGGGACGGATCCTGCCATCTACTATCTGATCGGAATTGCGGTCTACTTCTGGGCGTACACCGAAGGCGAGGTGAGTCTCTTGTTTCGATTTCCCTGCATACATTATCTGACGAATGACAGGTTGTATGTCCGGAGCCGTGGACTTTGCCGAAACGACACTTGCTCAAAGTATAAGAGTCCGAAATCCTCATTACTAAAGGGTTCTACATATCACGAAGAGACTATACGACGTAACGAATCATGAACAGGGCAACGGAAAAGGGGTTGAAACCTGAGGAATTAATGCTCCGTCGCCAGGGGCCTGGAGCGGTTATGGGACTGTAACATATGCGACCACTATAGTGCGCTGGTCTAGATGTCGAAGCTGCAAGAGGCCAGTGGGCTTCTTGCTGATGTATATATAACAATTACTTGGACATATAATAAGAGTTACTGACCAAGAACTGTCTCCCAGCTTAATGCCAAACCTCGGTAATAGTCACATGACCACCAGCAATCGTACCTGGGTGGCAAGACCGTTATAATTGGATCCCAGTACAGGATTTCCCAGGGTAGATATCACAACAGAATAATCTAATGCAGACTTCACAAACTCATTCAAGTCAATAGTATCAGGACTGAAGAGTTCATGAGCTCCTTGCTGGCCGTCTCCTGACACTTTGTGAGGAACACTGACTCCATCACCACTAATTCGCTCCAGCAAGATCTTCCTCAACAGCAGACATGTTGCCACCTGCTCCTGTTTCTGAGGAAATTCCTCAAGAATATCAAGGCGAAGCCGGCATCGTCGACGAAGATGATGTCCCCGTGAACAAAAAGACCACTTTCAACGGCAGACTGAACCAATACTTTCATGCATCTAAGAACGTCGCACCGACAAAGGAGTCGCTGTCAACCGTTGCCTCAGCGCCGAATCTCCTAACAGCAACGATCAAGCGCAAGCCCGAGTCTCACTCAGAACCACCCAGTGATCCATCCAGTAATGCCTCGACACTTCAACCGCCCATCAAACGACCACGAACCCTCCGTTCAAGCCGATCCTCACCCGTCACCACCAGCCTTACACCACGCATCACCCGTTCGCGCTCCGCTTCTTCCACCACCTCGCTACCTCCATCAAGATCCGACTCCCCTCTCACGCCCTCCACAACACCCGACGAGACCTCCCGCTCTCGCTCCCGTCGCCGACAACCCTCCACGCCAGCTACATCCTCCACCTGCCTCCTCCGCGACACCATCCCGCCGAATCTCACCCTACTCCTGGTCGGCGTAAACCCAGGCATCATGACCGGCACCACGGGCTTCGCCTACGCACACCCCTCCAACCTCTTCTGGAAGCTCCTGCACTGGTCCGGCATCACTCCCATCCGCCACCCGCCCTCAGACACCTACCGCCTCCCAGAACTCTACAACATCGGGAACACGAATATCGTCGAGCGTCCGACGCGAGACGCAAGCATGCTCACCAAGGCCGAGATGGACGCGGGTGTCCCCGTGCTTGAGGCGAAGGTTGCGAAGCAGCGGCCTGAGGCGGTCTGTTTCGTGGGCAAGAGTATCTGGGAGGCTGTGTGGCGGGCGCGCAAGGGGAGGGCGATCCGCAAGGAGGAGTTCCGGTATGGCTGGCAGGATGAGGCGGAGAATATGGGGCGATGTGATGGCCCGGATGGATGGGAGGGGGCGCGGGTGTTTGTCGCTACGACGACGAGCGGCCTGGCTGCTGGGATGAGTATCGCGGAGAAACAGGCCGTGTGGAATGAATTGGGGAGCTGGGTTGTCCAGCGCCGTGAGGCTCTTGCGGGCAAGCTGCCTAGCCAATGATTGCATATAGACTTCTCTACTGCCATAAAACATATAGACACGTCACAATAATCTACGACAATCTCAATCTGAACTCATGTATCGATATCAGGACAGCAAGCTCAGCCTGCTATCCGATCCATTGAAATATGGTAATAGCCTAGCTTAAAGTACATATTCCTCAGATCCATTCCTACCACGGGAAGGAGACCCATAAATCATCATCGCTCATAGAATGTAGTGCAAGCCAAACCGCTTAAACCCACGATTCAACCCACAAAGAACAACCACAACCAAGACCCCAATCTACCGGAAAGCAGGTCCATTGCTCGGGTTCGTATCGGCCTGGTGCTCGCTTTGCTAGTCCATGAATCAGCTCCCGTTCGTTCTTGACTTGACTTGAGACGGAAAAAAAGACAGAAGGGAAAAAAAAAAGAACTTACAGTATAAGTCTGGAAAGTCCCCCTCTCCAAAATCTTCACAATGCAATCGTCGATATTGTGAGTCTCAAACTCATTGTCCAGACTGGCGTTGCTGGCGCCGTCAAGCACACCCTGGGATCCGTGTCTGCAAGTTTCGCCATGGGGGTTAGCATACGGAGTTCTCGCCCACCCTGCAGTTACGGAGCATAGTCGGGATCAAATTAGGTATAGACATACCTGTGAGTAACAAAGATTTTGAACCCGTTTACCACATCGGAGAGGGGAATTGAACGGTCGTTCTTCCAGTTCTTGAGGGCGGCCGGGTCGTCGATGAAGACGATGAAGTCGTCCGACTTGCCCTTGTAGAAGACTTTGGAGCTGGGATCGTTGGCACGCATTTTGTTTGGTATCTTGTGATGTTTAAGGTATGAAGTCGAGGTATGAAGAATTTATATGAAGGAGATGGCTTTCTGAAGGAAAAAGTCACGCTTCTGGGAAGTTCGAGAGGTTGTAAGGAGTGATCGCGTGAGGTGATGTTTGATGACGTCACTGAGGTGCTATGCGGGGAGGAAGCTCACAGTATTGAGAACAAAGCGTCTAGGCTAAAAGGGGAAAAAGGATGTGATTCTTGTCAGAGAGGAATTGGATGTTGTTTTAGCTGAAGTCAATTTTACGGTTGCTGTAGACCGAGCCCTCTTTATATAAGGTCGTCTGTTGAGGAACCTGCACAGCCATCACCCGCTGCGACGTCATCGGTCCCTCCCAGTTACAACTTCATCCTCCATTCAACTGTTGACGGATCCGCTTTGCCCAGCGCAACCCAGCCGATTGACTGCTACAGGGAAGCCTGGTGGGGAGATCTTTCATCATGTAATTCACTCACTTGTCACCGTTATTCGACTTTGAGCTTAGGCTAATCCGTAGTCTCCTATGCTATTTCATTACGTCTCGCCAAGGGTGCAGCAATACCAGCCATGCCTGTCCCCAGTCCTCTACCCACACTAACCCGGTAACCCCACTGCCTATCGAAACAAAGAGAACGAAAAGTGATCATAATAATAATAGTATACCATTTCTGTATCCCTGACAGTGATCCATGGCGTGTCTGTCGTACTTTCAATGTTCATTGCATCATTGTGCTCCACCATCCATGCTCAAAGCTAAATGCAAACCTCTCTTTGAGCTCCTCCGAGATACAGAGTTGAAGATATCTCGTACTGACACCTTGGGAAAAGGTTGGTCTGATTGCTCCTTACACTGCAAAGGCAGATCAGCATGAGAAGCAGACTTGTGTCTGGCCTGAAACCTGACAGTTAGAGCTCGTCGAACCGTTCCCATGCGACTCATAGGGGAGACAGCTTTCTTCTTGTCCTCGATAACAGGCAATTCATCAGTTCTACCCTTCTCACCCCGGCCGATTTGCTCATTTTTGCTGGTTTTTGCAGGAGCAAGTACTATGGCGGGACGCCTAGCGGTTGGAAGGCCTCCGGAGCTAGAACGTCTGTACACCCCTTCCCGGATAGCTACCATGAGCTTACTAGGCTTGAGCAAGTCCTTGCCTTTGGCCGGAGGCATTCCAGGATAAGGCAGTGAGCTCTTTGTATATATGTTGAAGATGAATCGTTCCAGATCAACTCTATCTTGTCTTCTTGTTGTCAAGACCAGCGCTGAGGCCCAAGGGGGAATCTTTGGGCGTTCGATTTCTCCATCCGCCTCAGGCGATGCCTCTCCAGGCTTATGCGTTTTTCTGATCACAATATGCTGCAAATTCGCCTTACTCGCAGAAGTGGCCAATGAGTGGATGGAAGATTTTCGGGACAAGAGAGGTGTTAAACCCGTCGAGCATTCGAGTGGGAGTAGACCTAGCACCTCAAAGGAGTATAGACTTGATTCCGATTGCCCTGCTGTCGAAACTTCGGTCAACGCCGCCGCCGCCCTAAGTATCTCGGTTTTCCATTGCTTCTCTTCAATCGCCGATGACGCGCTCAAGACCAGCTCGTACTGATTATTTTGATGTTCAAATATCAGCTTCCACGAGAATAAGCATCCGTAGCAACATAGCCCTGTACCGAGATTAAGCGTGAGCCACGGACAGGGAAAGAGGTTAAAAAGGGTCGGGATGTATGCCGCTTACCTCGCCCGTTTCTCAAGGTGTCGATCTTTAGATCACGGACGTACAAGCACGCCACAGCCCGGAGTCTTGAACAGCCGTCTCTTGAAGCAGCCAGAACAAGATAGCTCTCAAACAGAGCGCAGACGACGTATTCACCCACAATATCTGCCGGTAACTGGTAGGTCGCATGAAGAACGCCACATAGTTTGATGGGCCCCAATTGTAGGTAGATATCGTGAACAATGTCCTGCATGCCAGATCGCTGTTGTCAGTAATCTCTGCGATTAAGAAAGGTGACTATGTGGCTCACCGGCTCTGGCAGTTCGAGCTTTTCTCTCAGCAAGAGGGTTTTTGCAATGAGTTCCCTTTGCTTGAGAGTTTCATTGGCTTGATTGACTCGCTCGATTGTTGGGCGAAGGCCATCCAGTACTTCCTTGATTTTATCATGCGATAACGGGTCATCTTGGATCGGCGTGCACTTTAGTAGTTCCCTCAAGAACAGCTCATACTTACAAAGTCGCTGAACTGGCTGAGGCTAGTTAGCACAGAGATGGCGGATCTGGAAGCTGGGGCTGGAAAAACCTTGACGACAAGATCACTCAAAGACATTGATCTATTATCTGTCACGAGCTTGTTCTCTAAGGACGTCACAGACTTTGAAAGAGATTCTATGCCTCCTTCGAAGGTTTCCCAATTCGGTATTGACCCGCGCAGAAGGCTCACGTCTTGCAAGAGTAGTTCAAAATTGCTACAGAAGTCTTCATAGAGCTTGAAGGACTTTGACTGCACCAAAAAGAGTTAGCATAAAGCATCAGCCTTGATGCAGGCACATACCAATGCAGCAATCTCGTGCGCAATGTCATAGGCTTCCGAACCTTGCGCAGCCAATGAGTTGAGGTGGGCAATTATCGATGTCTTCAGGCTCTGCTTCCTCAAGGATCTGCTTTGAAAGCTATTAAGGCGTTTCAAGTCAATCGCCCTCAAGCCTTTAGCAACGCCCTGAGGGAACAGCTTATCGACCTCGGATGCAGCCGAAACGGACTTGGGGCTCACGGCACGAGCCCTTGCCAAGAAGGTCTGGTGTAGTTCTCGAATCTGTTGGACGTTGCGATATATCCGGGGTCTGACGGAACAAATGAGGAGTACCTGGTCGATTGACGGGAAAAGGTCAGTTTCAAGATCAATTGCACGAGATACTGCTTTCGGGCATACATCAGCAAGGGCCTTCAACCCGAACACGTAGTCAGTTTCAGTAGTGATGATCTCCCGAAGTATTTGACGCCTCTCAAGAGAGTGAAGTAACACTGCATGAGATATGGAAGGGCTGACAGTAGGCCTCAAGCTCTCGATTGAACCACGACCGCCCGAATGTATGCTCGGGTTGAAGGTGCTCTGTGTTGCAGCCCTTGATCTCCCTACGCTTTGGTCAGTGAAGCTCGCTGTTTTGACAATCCCCAGATGTGACGAATGGGCTGATAACTGTTCCCACTGCTGATCTTGAAGGCCACAGTGAGGTGACCAGTCGTCGTTGGAGCACTTGGTCAACAGGATCTCGGGCCAACCGTCAACGTGTTTCTGGGCTGGAGATGGAAGACTCCTCTTCAGCCAGAACTCTTCAAACCATCTCCTAAATGATCCTGAATCAGTTGATCGTCCTCCTGAGTCATGAACTGAATCACTCGCATCCGCTACTTTCACTTCTGAGTTCGGAGGTTCCACGAGAAGGAGCGGTGTTTCAGATAGGGTATCCTCCTTGGACTCTTCCATATTTGCGTGAGCATGCGAGACTAATTCAGAAGAACTGGCGTATGAACTGTCTGAATGACAAGTTCGAGAAGTTCGTTCCAAAGATCATGGTGCAGGCGTGCAGAAACCAGTAGGCGCGGCAAGAGCCATCTGCTTTATGGAAGCTGCGACCGGCACAGAGGAAGCAATGGAATGACAAACAAAACGTAACTCTAGACGCCCGTTGTAGGATCTGCAGGACTGAAGATTGACCATCTGTAATGCTATACTGTCCATCCACCTCCTGTTTGCCTTGCGCTTCTGCATCGTTTCCGCCTATCATCTCCTCCATAGCAGGAAAATACTGCGACAACACATCATAGCGTCCTTCTTGGTTGATTAAAAACACATGAAAGGAAAACGAACAACAGAGTATTTGAAGAGTCCATTTTATTCTTTGACGGATTGAATCTACCTATACCCTCCAGCGTAGACAATTAGACAGAGGAAAATGGACGCTTGATGTGCCAAGAACAGCAAAGGAGCCTTTCCGACCCCGCGGGTTATCGACTTATCTTTAAGGTGGACCCGCCACTGTCGCCCATCCGTTAGCTCTCCCGACTACAACCAACAACTTACCAAACAACACTACGATGGTCTAACTGTACCTTGTCATCAAGGGATGGGAATACCCATGAACGATAATATTCACGCCCCCACTGTACCCTCTGGACCTACGTCCGGAGGGGTTCGCCGTGACCTGTCCAAGCTGTCCATGGTGGACCTGATGCAAGAGAAGGAACGTATTGAAGCAGAACTGTCGGCCCTTAGCGCCGTGCTGACGTCTGTGAGTCGCCCGATTTACCCGGACATCTCTGGATGTTAGGACTAATAATGTGTGTTTCCAGCATGGCGTGAATATGAACACGTCTTTGACGACCTTTGATGGTTTTCCACGAGACGATATCGACGTCGCGCAGAGTAAGGTTTATCGAATTTCCATATGCGGTACGGAAACTAAATCTGAAGCATAGTCCGCACGACACGAGCACGAATAATTCACCTGCGAACCGACCACAAAGAAGTAATGAAACATCTCGAAAAGGGTCTCCATGAGCATTTCGCCAGTCTTCAACGTGCGCAAGCCGCCGTTCCCGCTGGCGGTATGAACGGGACTGCAGAACGAAGCAATTTGGGTGAGAACAGTTTATCAGATGCTGAAATGATTGGAACGCCGTTTGCCAAGGTGAACAGCGTCGTGCCCGGTAGTCCTGCGGATCAGGCTGGGTTGAAGGCCGGGGACACCATACGAAGCTTCGGAAATGTGAACTGGATCAATCACGAACGTCTATCTAAGGTAGCACAAACAGTGCAACAGAACGAAGGAGTAAGTGGTCGCATCCTCTTCTCAAGCTACACCTGGCTGACTTTACGCAGCGCATGATCGTCGTCAAGATCATAAGAAAGGACGGACCTGGGTCCAATAACACTACTGAGCTGAGTTTAGAACTCATACCACGCCGTGATTGGGGAGGTCGTGGCTTATTAGGTTGTCATCTTATTCCACTATGACGGGAGAACCGCAGGCCAGATTGACATCGGCTCAATGGCACTGCAGGAGGAAATGCATTCGTCATGACGTCTGCTCGTGCCTTGCTCCTCTTTTTCTACTCTGATGAGAAATGCGGTATGGCCTTTATGATCGAGTCGATGGTAGGATCAAGCATAAATTGGCGTTACTGTTTGTTTAGGCTGCAAGCGGAGATCCGAAGTCCGAGAAAGAATGTATTAATAATTGATGCATGGAACTCCAAGGTACCTTCGTGCCTAATCTGTAAAAGATGTAGAACATGGACAAATCAAGATGAGATAAGTGGGAAAATCGTACTTTGCAAAGAGTGTATTTCGTAGATTTACTGGCTGCACGTGCCCTCAGGCGTCCTTGGACCGCCATCTCGCGGGGCACCGTCATCCTCAGGCAACAACACGTGACTTCAACCTGTTGTGACCGACTCTGGGCAAAAATTCCATCACCAGAATAGTCTTTCGCTCTGCTTCTCCCTGGCTTCAACCGTTCTGTTGAACACACTTTTCTCCATCAACGTCGCGTACTTTTTTGACGACTTTCCATCATATAAATACAGCGTGATTTTTTTCGCGACTTGACTTTTTCTCCATTTCCAAACGTCACAGAATCATCGCCATGGCTGCTCCGACTACACCAACCTTCAAGCTCGTCCTTGTTGGTGACGGTGGTACCGGTAAGGCAAGTAAAATTATACTCATATTGCGTTTTACTCTTATGACATGCGGCATCTTTCTCTGCCTGCATTTTACGAAGGCTCGACGCTCATTGACCTACTTGCGTGGACTTGATTTCCTCATCGCCCCCCACCGCCAACGAGAAAAAAAATCACCCCATGTCGAAATTCCTTGCGGGATCGCTAACATTCATACCTTGTAGACCACCTTCGTCAAGCGCCACCTTACTGGTGAATTCGAAAAGAAGTATATCGCAACTCTCGGTGTCGAAGTGCACCCTCTGACTTTCACCACCGTATGCCCCGCCAACAACCCCGCTCTATCGTTCCACTTAGCTTCCTCGAGGCGACTAACCTTTCGCGACAGAACCTGGGAACGATTCAATTCGATGTATGGGACACAGCCGGTCAGGAGAAGTTCGGCGGTCTGAGAGATGGATACTACATCAACGGCCAGTGCGGTATCATCATGTTCGATGTCACCTCCCGTATCACGTACAAGAACGTCCCCAACTGGCACCGTAAGTTATTGTCAACTTAACATGGAGAGTGATGGCCATACTGATCATCACAAAACAGGTGATCTCGTCCGTGTCTGCGAGAACATCCCCATCGTTCTCTGCGGTAACAAGGTCGATGTTAAGGAGCGCAAGGTGAAGGCCAAGACGATCACTTTCCACCGCAAGAAGAACCTCCAGTACTACGATATTTCGGCCAAGTCCAACTACAACTTCGAGAAGCCCTTCCTGTGGCTCGCCCGCAAGCTGGTCGGCAACGCCGCCCTGGTGAGTTTACGCGCCTACATAGCCTTGCGATAGCACTTTCAACTAACACGCTGACTCAGGAATTCGTTGCTGCCCCTGCTCTTGCTCCTCCTGAGGTCGCTGTCAACGCCGAGCTCATGGCTAAGTACGAGGAGGAGATGGCGACTGCCGCTACCATGCCTCTGCCCGACGAGGAGGATGCGGATCTGTAAGCGTATCGCACAGATTGGATCGGGGGCAAATTGCGGTCATTCATCCATGCCTGCGGTTTCCTCCCGGTCATTTGGATTCGTTACGCCATGCCTCGAGTTACGATACAACGATAGCGGTCGGTGGAAATAGCCTGAAGGGAAGGTCGGCACTGTCATGCATTGGAATCTTACACAACTAGTAGTTTTAGACGCTTATCACAATTTTGCTCCCTTTTTTCCTTTTCTTTTTCGCGAACGATAACTCTATTTACGACAACAAAAAGCAAATATGTTGACAGGATTGGACCCTCTACGGATGGTCGAAAAAAGTTTTCATACCGTCTCTTTGCTTCAAGGGGGTCATCTACTCCTCTTACTCCCATACAGAGCCTGACAGCGTAAGCCACTGCAGGGCAAATAGACGTACTACCTGGGTAGACTAATCCATGAACATCCATAAGGTAGCAAACATTCGCCCCATATGGTGGAATTCCAAGGAACAACCTCTTAAATTAATCGACTTATTGTGGGTGACGTCATAGGCTTTCTTTTATTGGATTAGGTCAAAAGAACAGCACTACATGTCTCAACCAGTTGTATACAACATCTAGGAACGTCAGCACTACCTTATGCAGTTGGCGTATCCATTACGGATGTACGTGAGGCAGCGAATTTATGAAATAGCATGAAATCTATGAAGGGTCAAGACTGCATTCTATCTGCTGCTCTGAGTCTGCCGATATCGTAATGATAAATACGAACTTGTCCGGAATGTAGATAGGAAAGAAGGCAAAATACAAAATAAGAAGGGGAAAGGTAGCGATCTAGGGTATCGTATCGAAGTAAAGCCGAAACGGATGCAGAATGCCGCCAACGCCGTACCGCGCATATTGGATGATGAGGAGCCGTTACCGAACGCCCTGTAGAAAAATTCAGTTAGTTTCTAGTACAAAGGTTCGAGGAATGGGTTGACATACGAATAAATAGGCCAGTTCCTGAGTTCCCAGGCGAGAGACCTTCTTCAAGGCCTTCTCGTCCAGAGCACCCTCAATGACCTCGCGTTTTTTCTCCTGAAGTTCAAGGATACGGTCCTCGACTGTCTTTTGTACAAGGATTCGATGGATCTGGACCTGGCGCATCTGCCCAATGCGATGAGCGCGGTCGATGGCCTGTTCCTCGATGTAGGGGTTCCAGAAGGGGTCGAAGATGATGACCTGGGACGCAGCGACGAGGTTCAGGCCCGAGTTGCCCGCTTTCAGGGAAACCAGCATGATCTTGCAGTCAGGGTTATCGGTGAATTCCAGGACGGCGGCGTTTCGATCACCAGGTCTCATGCTGCCGTCATAGCGGCGATAGCCCCAACCTCGACGCACGATCGGGACCTCGAGGAGATCCAACAGCGATGTGAACTGGCTAAAGATGATGGTTTTCTCGCTATCCTCTCGGTCCTGAATCTCCTGAAGGATTTCAAGAGTCTTCTCAATCTTTGCACTGGTGACCCAGGTTTTCTCCAATCGGCGAAGGTACTTTTGTTTCGATTTGATATTCTTCGATGCCTCCTTCTTGAGTTCCGCAAGGCTCTTCTTGGTCTTCTTGGCTTTCTTTCCCTTCTTTGTCTTGGACTTTCTGACTGATGCTGGGTCATCCTCGTCATCAACGATGAACCGAGACAAGCTGTCATCATCATCATCGTCGTCGTCGTCATCGCTATCGTCATGATCCTCATCATCTCCTTCGTCAGGAAGAGGCTTAAGGGACCCGACTTGATCGGGATCATCCGCATTCGGAGAATGAATCTTCTTAAACGTCAGATGGTCGGTGACCTT